AAAAAAAAAAAAAAAATATTTTTTAAAAAAAAAAAAAAAAAAAAAAAAAAAAAAAAAAAAAAAAAAAAAAAAAAAAAGAATTAAACAATTAAATTTATTGTAAAGAGAAATTATTATTATTCCAAAAAACTTGAAATATATAGGAAAAAACATTTATTACTAGAAAATTACTACATTAATTTACTGCGTAATAACGAACGTAAAAAGTATGATAACTTTTTCATCCTTTTACTTTTAATTAATGAATTTCATATACCATTGCATAATAATTCATTATAATTATGCATTATTTGACTTATTAATGGCAATATATTATTAATGATAAAACCTTTAAAAATTTAACTGCATAATAAATTTTAATAATAATCCGCTCATACCTAATATAAATAATATTTCTAAATAAGTGCTAGCTATTTTAAAATATAACTTGCCGTTAAATTTTATCAATAAAGATAGTGATCTATCCACTTTTATATTCAATTTCACACTAATCTTCTGGCTACTCGATTTATTAAAAATGAAAAATATCATAAAAGTATTTTGAGCTCATTATGAAAATATAAATTTGAACAATTAAATATATTCTTTTCAAAATATCTCTCATAGAATTTCATATCTCATAGGGAAAATCCCAAAGTCCCTAAAAATACACAGACATTTATTCAAGAGCATAAATTTGTTTGTAGTAGATTTTTTAGAAATGCGAATAGGCTGCCAACAATTTTCTCTCTAAACATTCGTCCAGCGAATCGAACGCGAAAGCTCTCTAAATTGTCCAAATTTTCAATCTATATTTGTATCGTTGGATTTGCATTAGTTCTAGATTATGAAGCCAATATAACTTTCGAACGCTGAACAATTAGAATTGGTGGTATCTGCAATTAATAATCAGTGTCGGGAGCCTTAATCGGACAGATACACGTGACTCCCTCCATCCCCACCCATTCGTTCATTGCACATGACTCGTCTGTAGTGTAGTGCCTACCCCAACTAAATTACGCCGATAAAATATGACCCGGCGCAACTGATATTTCTCTCATATTTTACATTGCTATTAGCGGTCTGCATAAATTGCGGCCGAACAAAATCAACGCAATCGATGATCTTTGCGAAATGCAGAAATGAAAATTAGCATATCAGAGGTAGACGCGGCCGGCATTAGCGTCACCTATTACTGGAACATTAATCAGTTGGCTTGGAATCGGCAGGAAATAGGATTGTGCGCGATTCGCGTCGTTGCTTCATCCTATTAAGCATCCCGATTGTTAGGGCCAGGATTTTAAATAAGTAAGGCCAAGTAGATTTTATATTATTGAAAAGCATTGGGCGAAAGGCGATCGGTAAAATCTCAATGTTTGCCTATGTTCTATTTCCCAACCTCTTCAAAAATTTTTTACTTTGCCTAATGCGAATGCTCATATTAATCCTACTGCTGCACATTAAGGAGTCCAAATATCATGGTTTAATTTATATTACTTTTGCAATAAAATTGTTCGATAAAGATTGGTTATAAAAGTTAGTGCTCGTATATAAGGATAAATTACCGAAGAATAAGTTACCACTCAATAACACGCAATTCAAAAGGGAATTTTTTTTTTTTTTTTTTAGATTTCATTCGATATCACGTTAAACTTTCATCGCACATTTTTACATTAAATTCGCCCACTGCTTTCACTTTTTCCAATTACTTTTAATAAGGCTAATCACTATTGTTCATCCCACGATGCATGGAATTACATAGAAGTTTTTTTTTTTTTTTTATTTGTAAATAACATAGCATTCGGACAAATTAAACACATACTTTATTCACGTAAAATAACTTTTTTTTTCCTCCGAACTTTGCGTTATCCTTTGCGTCTTTTCAAACTCAGTTGAAGAAAAAATTTAAAAATGCAAACACTGTTGAAACGAAAATACGAAAGCTTTCATATCAAGGACGAATATTCGAAGAGTTGGTATTGCAGTTCATAATCATCAATTCTTTTTAACGGCGTAAAAATCGATTAAAAGTTTTTTCTATGTGCTGATATATATAGCTTATTCTATTAGGAAAAGTAATCAATGGAAAATTGAGGATTTCAGTTTTAATAATCGGCGCCTGAGGATCGTCATTTAGACAAGGAAGTTCTTTTGGGTGTGCATATCTACACGATTGTTTGCTTTCCAATAGTTTCACGCTTGCAGGAAGTTTCTCTTTCAATAAACGATTGATGTTGGTTTTTTCCCCCTCTACAGTTACAGCTTGCAGAATTTCTTTTGCGAAGTAGAAAGAATAGAGCGAAAAGCAAGGAATAAGGCATAAAATACATAAAAGAAAGTTTGGCAAACTGTAAAAATATTTGAAAATTGAATATTAAAGAGTATAGGTATAAAAGTCATTTGTATCGTGTGTATATTATTTCTTTAAATATTCTATTAAAATTGTAATAAAATATTTATTAATATTGACTCATGACGTTTCTAATAATTAAATGCTCGTGCGATCTAACGAATGATAATATAAAATTTCAAAATCTACACGTGATTTATCACTATATTCAAGTTAATCGATTTTTATATATTTTATTTTTATATTTTTATATTTGTACTGTTTTGACATAACATTCAAACTAGAAAATGCATAAAATGGCATTAAAAATAGTATTTGAATTTGTATTATCGGCTATACGAATATAACTTGTGCATATTATCTTAGTTGTCCAATAGAGCTTTATATTATTGCAAATTTCTTACAATAATGAATGGTAAGATTATTTGAATCGCTACTTAAAGTTACTATAATAAACTGTTATTTTACGATAATTATTCAAGCAAATAATTTCACGGCACTCTAAATAATAATATTTCCATTTAACAAGTGTAAAGATAGTATTGTAAATGATGTTTATCTTACAATACTCTTACACTTTCAAATACAAATAAAAATACAAGCCTGTTTACTTTGGGAGGGGAAGGCGGCATTAAAACCCTCGGTCCCTCCGAATACATGAATTGGAAATTGATTGCACCTCTGTAGTTGAAATAAAAAGAACCAGTAGTTATCTTTTGATTGGTGCTCATGGACAAATAATATTTATTGTATTTTGTATATGAATATTAATATCTTGAACTCGATGACTTTGCTCATATACAAGTAACTAAGATAGAATTATGCATCTTATATATAAATTTCCAATATTTTCTGTTTTAAGTGTTTTGCAATAAAAATGACTTATAAAATTATTTAAGCAACACCCATTTAAAATATAATTATTTTATGAAAATACTTGCTATCGAGTAAATTGAAATCTACTTAACTTTTTTTTTTTGTATTTTATAGGAAAAATTAGGTATTACACATTGGTTACATTGAATAATATATTTTCTAAAAATTAATACGTGAAAAAAAAATTAACTATTTATATTTTTTTCTACAAATTTTTATAATGTTGATATTATTTTTCCCTCTTGTATTATACGGTTTTCACTCATTTGTTCTAATGCATGAACGTCTACCTCGTCATGTCATCTCTTACGGCAAAGTTATTCCTTCAAATTTATTCAAATTATCTAATTCATTCTCTCGTGCCTTGGTTCCTCAAACACTCTCTCTCTCTCTCTCTCTCTCTCTCTCTCTCTCTCTCTTCCTCTCCCCCTCTCTCCCCCTCTCACCCCCTTAATAACGAAATTTCTTCTAAAAAATAGTCAACGTTGTTAGCAATAATAATTTTAATTCATGCTTATCTATAATGCGTATATTTTTATTAATTTTTGTAAAAATTTCATCGAGCCTCTGATTGATATAACAAGAGTAGTCAATTAATTAATAAAACTATTATAACTGTTGATGATGGAATTACGAAGCCATTTATAGATTATCGAATTAAGTTTCAGACAAACATCAGCTAATTTCGTTATTAATCATAGGAATGAAAAGATCGAGGAGGTCGAGGTTGTAAGTTTGAGAATCCCCACGTGACAACTGCCGGAGGGGACGGCATAGTCATTGCCTTTTACCGCGCTCGTCTCTTCCTCAAATCTCTACTCTTCTACATCCTCAAGGCAAGTACATGGAGGAGGGATCTTTAATAAGTCCGGACCTCGCGAAGAGGCCGTAAATTGGCAAAGTGAAAATGAACGCGGGCGTGGGGCTGCATATACCCGGCCCCCGTCAACGTTTTCCTATTAATACAAATGAAATGGATCTCGCATATTGGATTTAGAGTTATACTCAATGCGTACTTTAGTGACAAAACTTTTATTCGTGCTTCTGAAGCACACAAACTCAGGATCAGAAGTTTGCCGTGCAAAGAGGCAGACATTGTTGTCAAAGTTTGCTTACAAACAGGTAAGTCTTATAAAAGGGAATTTCATGCATATAGATTTAACACTATCGTAAAAATACCTAATAAAAATTTTGATTCGAGACATTATTATCTTCACTCTCGGTGTTTTTAGTATTGTTATTGGTATATTATGACAACTAGAACGAAGAATTGAAGAAATCCTTTTTCCGCTCACTTTTCAAGTTTCCCTAGCAAATTCTTACAAATTTAATAAAAAATGCTTTACAACCAAATACAAATATAGCACTTTAATTTTATTACCAATGCCGCACTGATAATCAATATGCAGGTAATAATTAATTTATATTCCGGTATAACTAATTGTGCAAGACTTGATTAAGCAAATTTTCATCGTTTACATAAATTTAGAGGGATTTTTTAATTTTTTCGAACATTTCTAATGAACAGTCTTTCACGCAATAACTACTTCCAACTCCAAAAACGTATCAATTAGAAATGAGCTGCAACAATTAGATATGAATGTAGCAATTTCCAGTCACTTTTGAAAATCAACGCGCCATCTATGGCTTTGATACTTATCAGGTACGCGAATACCTACATAAAGATAGACAGATCTCGTGGGTGTAACGCTCACACGAAAAGCATAGCATTTTTGCATATTTTTATGTCTCGCAATTTGTATTAATTCCAAAGCTAATTACCATGTAATGAGAGAAAGGGACGGGAAATTGCAGCCGTAGGTTAATATCCTCGAGCTCCACTCGTACGTGCAATATTTATAACGACGAGAAAATGTGAAAGAAGTGCATTAGGATGAGAGGGCGACTCATTTTTGCGAGAGAGTATGCAGGCTCGGGCATGCGTATGAGAAGAAATGAAATTTACTAGTAGCTGTGGGCATATACTGTTTGAATAAGTGACGAACGATGGTTTCGGCTTTGTTTTTTTTTTTTTTTTTTTTTTTTTTTTTTTTTTAACCGCTACCGCACACTTCCACTTCACCCTACCCCCTATGCCCCTCTAGCCCCCGCACGAATGATGCGACTCTGACATCCGCTGGATTGAGTTATTCATCCGCACTGTAATTTTGTTAGGTCATGTCGAGTGTAATCCCACCACTGTCGATTTATACGAACATTTCTTTTCGTATTTGCCGTACGTGTGCCTGAATAGATTATCCAAGTCTATACGACTTATAAATGCGTTGAAGATTTTAATTGGTAATGTTATTTTATGAATAAGCTTTCGTCATTTTCTCGTGCAAAATTTTTCAGAGTCGTTTGAAATAAATGTGTTAATGTCTTGTTACGGTAAAAAATTTACAGTAATTTTTATTTACCTTGTCTAATTTGCTATCTAATATGCTTATCCCGACATTACTCAAAATCAATAAAATTTAATTAAATGTCCTTTTGCCTTTAATAATCACCAATATGTTCCATTGTAATATAACTAATTACGATTGCGTGCACACCAAGTGACTTATTTAATATTCAAGTAACTGCGCTCGACAGCAAACTATGCATGATTAAAGAACATTTGAAATTAAATACAAAAGAACTTGATCCACTACTCACCAGTCAGATATTGTCGAAACGTGGACGTCCAGGTCCATTCGGGATTGCCGAGTCGCCTGGCAAAAAGACACTCTAAGTGAAGGATACTTCCGGGAAAAACAGCCAGAGCGCCCGAAGGCTCAAATGTCGCGGATCCCGCGGGAAGCCCAAAAAGTATCGTCGGCGGCACGTCTTCTGTAACAGAAAGCGGTGCCGTAGGCAAGACTTAATTCCCTGGATATGAGCATATTCTTTTCTACTTAAGCGATCTACATGTAAACTCTGCTCTTTTTTCGTACTGAAAATGCAGAGAATTATTAGAAATACATTTTTATAAATTGTCGATGAAATTTAGAAATTGTTTATTCAGTATATTGTGTATGAAGAAGATAATTATATCGAGAACATTTAGAATTTTTAAATTACTAGCGCCTTTTCCGATCCGATCGTCGAATCTTTACATTTAATGCTCTACTCAAGGAAACACACACGCGCGTGCATACACACACACACACACACACAGAGACATATATATATATATATATATATATATAAAAGTTTTTCGCTTTCAAATCTTTAAAATTATATATTGCAAATGTACACACACACGCGCGCACGCACACACGTATGTAAATATATCGCGACATAAATGACGTATGAAATGTGTGCTCACAACTTTATGTATGAGTTTAGTTGAGAAAATAAATAAATTCTTCTAGTATTCTATTAATAATATAAATATTTCGTATAATGTAGCACTTATATATGCATATTTATTAGTAAACTTTAGCCTATTAAATACATTAAATTATGTATTGAATTCTGAATTTAAATTAATATTTATACTAATTTTCCTTATTGCAGTACTTAATTATTATCTATTTCAATCGTTACAGTAACAGAATTCTAGCAAAAGGTTATTCTGATAGGTCATTGTATTTTGATATCCTTTTAAAATCAACGAATATGTAGATTAGGAGCGGATTACTAAAATAATTAGCACACCGATGGAATTAAGGAATTTAATGAAATTATTGAATATAAATATAGTCTATCGCCTAATATTAATAATACATTTTTTATCCCATTTTTATTGACTCCGAATGGTTCATCTATCCATTTTATAGCCCAACACATTTATTTATGATTTATAATCTACTTTTTGCCTTCGCTATCTTTGCTTTTTCTTTCGTCCTATTTTTTGAAAGAACCTGCATCTAAAATGCAAAACAAGCGCCTTGAAGTGCCAGTGCGCTTTGAAAAAAATGAGTACTGAATTTTTATAGCCCCGATTTATTCTTTTATATCGGCATCTCCTTTTTATCCACACACGCGCACATACAATCTACGTAGTTATGAAAAGATGCCTCATTTGTGATTCTTTTTTCTGCGCCTCAAGAGTTTTTTTGTAACCGTGTGTATACTTCCGGAATACTTACCGCTGTAACTGTACTTTTTCTTTTCACGGCTCGACAAGCATTTTTGCATTATTACAAAGCTCCCACAGTACCGTAGCTATGTCAACCGCGAGCTTTCCTTAGATGATGTGGTGAGCTTGTGTAAGCTGTGGCAGTATTGTGACTTTGAAGGAAATTCTGGCGTAATGCAAAATGTTATTCTTACTTTGATTTTGTGAGTTATTACAACGATTGCGACGAAAGTTTAACGCAACAAAATTGAAAATAATTTTTATTATTATATTTATTATTCTTCAATTCTTAACGAAAACTAGATAAATCAAATTTTATATTAATGCAAAAAATTGTAATTAGTCATAATTATAATATTACTTCACATTATTTCATTGAATTCTTTAGATTGAATTAGATTGAAATATCCATTAGATTTTTTTTTTTTTTACATTAAATTTACATTATATAAGGTGTAAAATTGTATAATTTTCAAATATTGTTTTAATACTAAAATACATAAATTTAATTTTTTCAAATTAAAATAATTAAGTTCCGTTTAATTGGAATTATTAGATAGTTTTTTGCAATCGCAACCAATGGTAGCATTGGTTCTGTAATGTTTGTATGTAATGTAATGTAATGATAAAAGTTAATAGTCATTAATTTTTATCGACGCAATGGTTTATGAATACGGATGTGGTGTTTAATATTTTTTAACATTAAGTTATTTTATCTTAAGTTATCTATTTATTATATTGGAGTTTAAAAATTTTCATTGATAATTGATGTGTAATTTATGATATTTATACAATAAAAATAAGTAAATAGAAATATTGTGAAATTTGATTGCGCTCATCAAGTGCACAACTTCGACCTATTGAAAATAATCTTATTTTATTACAAAATTATATGTAATTCAAACAGACATTAAAAAAAAAATATTCTAAAAGATTTAACGTGAAACTTAAACTTATATATCATATAAATATTGTAAAATAGATTATTGATTACTAAAATTGGTGTATATGTAAAAACATATTGCGGTTTAATGTAAAAATAAAAGGAGGATTATAACAAAATAAAAGCTACTAATAAATATCTAATACAATATATTTTCTTCAAAAATTTGAATGCAAGTAGATCATCTTAGAAGATATATGAACTAAATTATATATACTCACACGATTTTCTACACATACAGTCTTTTCGTAAATATGACTTGAGAAGTACTGCAGACGTATACGCATTTATATATGTGTGTTTGTGTTTGTGTGTGCGTGCGTGCGCGCGCGCGCGTGTGTGTCTGTGTGTATGTGTGTGTCTCTCTCTCTGTGTGTGTGTGTGTGTGTATAAAGTTACTACAACGTGATTTTACTGAGACCGAAGGCTGCAGCACACAGAAAATCTGCTCGTCTTACTCGCTTGCTTTACCTGCTCACCTTATTAAAATTTCAAGAAAAACTGTATGCTGGAAGGAAGGGCTAAAGTAGCTGCGGGTAACCAAAAAGCAGAAGAAGTAAAAAGAAATTGAGTCTTTGATGCTCAAAGATAAAGTCAGAATAGAAAGTGGAGGTAGTGTTACATATATCCGCATACATGTAAAATTTTATGATTTCGAAGGACTTGAGATAATGGGACCTTCGGGTCCAGCAACAGATTCGCTTATTTTAATTATAATTAGTAGCTCCAATATAATATAATGATATTCTTGTTACGTAAGAAATCCCATATAACAAGTCAGAAGAAAATATACATATTTGCTGAATTAAATCAATATTAATATATAATTGACAGAGCATGAGAATATAAAGAAAGAATATTTTGCACATAAAAAATGAATTTTAAGGAATTATATATAGTCAATATGAAAAATCACTAAATAATAATTCAATTTATAGGTATACATAAACATAGAATATACTTTAGTATATCAGAAATGTGTAAGGATTCGAGAAATACCAATAGGTTATTAATGCACTCTGTAAAAAATTATATTGTATTTATAAAGATACTATGAAATGAGAAATTATTAATAAAATTATTGAAATATAATCAGTTAATTAATGAAAAATTGAATACATACGACATATATAAACATAAATAAAATGTATCGGGAATGCCATTCGCATGGATAAATTATACGTAATGGTTGATATCGTAAATACAAAGGAAAATATTATTTTTATAAAAATATGTGCCTCTTTTATTTGTGTGTTTTTATAACAGACTTATATTTATACAATTAATTAAATTTTTTCATAATTGTAAATCTAATAAATTCTGTGCGATGCAGATGGATGTTGTTATTTAAAAGTAGGTGAGTACTACCTTCGAAGACACTTTATAAGTATAAATTACATGTGCTTAAAATATTAACAGAATAATTCAAATTACGAAACTATTTTAACATAATAAATCGACTTAAATATAATTGAATATTTAAATTGTGAGACACAAATAGTCAATTGAAGTACCTTTAAATAAAATTGATGTAAGGAATTTATTATTGAATTAATAGGTAATCTAAGAAAGACGCGACCGAATGGCACATAAATACGAAAATTCAAGTGATATTCGGTATATTTAAATTTTCTTTAAATAATTTTTTTAATAAATTTTTGTTTTGTTTTGTTTTTAATTTGTTCGATCAGCTCTTTTGATGACAAATGAAGTAATTATAATCTACAAATTGTTTTATTTCTAACGTCTACTATTTATATAAATAGAAAATTGAGGCAAAGGATGAGAAATTTACTTTCCCCCAGTTTTGGATAGTAAAAATTTCGATCATTAAATATTATGACAATACTAAAAATTATCAAAAAGAATTATAAATAAATAAAAGCATTAAAAACTTTATTTAGCTATTACAATAGATAATAGAATAAATAAAAATATTTACAATAAGTAAAGTATATAATAGTATATTTAATAAGTTAAAAATCTAAATTTAAAATAAAAGATGAATAGAGCTTTTATGACTATTTATGGGTAATATATATGTGTGTGTGTATGTGTGTGTGTGCGCGCGCGCGCACACACACACCGCGCTTGCAGTTACCTACAATACACGTGTATCCGTAGTTAAATTTATTGCGATTTCAGTCTTGAATTGTAGTGGAAATAGGGAGTTAAATAAAAAATTGGGAAGGGGTCAGAGCTTTATTATATATACAAAGATAAGGAAAGCATGTTTGAAATGCAGAAAATACTATTCTTGGTTAAAGAAATTAACAGAGAGGGCGATATTTTTTAAATTTTCATACGCAAATTTCTGCATAGAAATTCTTTCATTACTATATAAAATTCGAAATATAAATTTCAAATATGATATTATTGATGTAACTGAATTGTTTAAAATCCAAGACGAAAAAAACTAGAGATGTTAATAAAATGAATTTATTGTTTTGCTAATTTCAATTAAAAGAAATGTAAAGTGTATGAAATTCCAAATAAAAGGATATTCATAAGATAAAAATATAGTTATAGATCCAGTTAAACTTTACTCTAATTGAATAAATTTTTTCATGCGGAATATCTGTGATTATTAAATGGCTGTTATGTAATATTATTCTACCCAAGCACTACTGTGGTGTGAAAAATAAATAAAAAAATGTGTATAAAAATTGTATAAATTGTATGAAGAGATCAATATTTAAATAATTTTATTCATATGGACTTTTTGTAATCAAATGAAAGTAGGCGCATATCATAGAAATAAATCATCAAAAAACTAATCCAATTTCAGTTTTTTCATAAAATAAAGTCTATATAAAGGCTATAAAAATCGTAGGATAAACTTACCCGTATAATTAGCAAGTGCAGTGGTGGGGATGCAAGAAGGCAATTTCTCACTCCAGATGCCATTTCGGCAATGTAACAACGAATCCCCGATAAGCTTATATTTTCCAAGTTCGCGACATCGCACTGCAATTTTTTCATTGTGTGGAACTGTAATTTTATCCACCTGCGAAGTCAAGTAGACAAAAATATTTGTTACATGAGGCTAAACAGAGAGGGATAGAGAAAAGTTCGTTTTACTTTATACAATGTATTTTATACAATTTCGTTGCTATTTGATTTATTAGTTAGAAAATAGCAATTTTCCCTTTCAAAACATTATATTTTGTCTTTTCCTTTAAAAACATCATATTTTCAAAAATATTTTTTAATCTCTTTTCTTTTGTCATATTTCGCAGCCATTATATTTAATTCATAAATATACTCGCTAATTTATCATATTATAATATACAAATTTCATATTGAAAATTCAAATATATAATAGCTACTTATACACTACATATAATTTATTAAAAATTTAAAGTAAATTGAAGTGTATATGTATATCTCTCACTGTGCATAGTTTAATTAAATTTTCTACCAAAATTCTAAACGAATGTTTTTATTTTTAAATTAGTTTAAATTGTGAAAAAAATTATCTATAAAGTATATTCTGAAATAAATAACAATTATAACTTTATGAAATTAAAGGACAATTGTATGAAAACAAAAAATTATTAAATGATATATTTGAATATTTAAAAGCATTGAAATATTGAAAAATGAGAAAAATTATTGTACGATTAAATGTTCGGATGTAAATTATCTTTTAAATGCAATGGAACTGAATTTACTTGATCAAATGTCAATCAAGTGTTGTCGTAAAGGGTCTAGGATTTAAGGATTGCGCGTGGATTGGTAAGAAGAATAGCAATCAAACGAAGAAGTTGGCTGGTCGAAAGCGATTCTTGCGAAAAAGTTTTTGGCTCTTGCTGTGCGACATCTTACAAACGTATGATTTCGCGATCTTACGTCGCGTTGCAGATATGCGCGAATATTCTTCGTGCTGCATAGTACTGCCAAAAGACGTCCGAATCGTGATCGGAATGCATCTTTGCTCCTTATTTTCTCATTTCTTCTCGTCTCATATATATATATAGTAAGATGCACGAGTTTTTTTTACGATGCTCTTTAGATATTCCGATCTCGAAGTTTCGTAGGCATTTAAGGCTTTAGAGGTCCCTTAAATTTTCGCATTTTATTTTTACCACAAGCTGATTCTCCGGGGCAAATAATTTTTCAACGCATTTCGTATATTCTAAGTTCTTTGCATAGCTATTAGTAAAATACTTTTTCAATATCTCGAAGTTAATTGAGTTTGATAGAGATTTGAAAAGTTTTATTTGATTCTCAAGTATTCGTAATTCCATTGCTTTGCGTAGGAATAAGTATGAAACCACGTCACAATGAAGAATATCTTTATCCAGAATCTAATCTTCTCCATTATGTGTTGTTTTATATTTCCATTATCCATTATCAATTGTTTTATAATTTTATGACTATTATTAGCTCAACTGGAATAAGTATATCATTTATTAGTTTTATTTGATAATCAATTTTGTATATAATAATTGCAATTAAAATTGAGGATAAATATTCATGTAAAACATAAATGGAACATACTTTTGAATTAGAAATATTATTAATGACATAAAGAGTGCTTTTTTGTTTAAAAAGATATACAATAATTATATGACTTTGTAAATTGTCAATTTATTTTCAAGTTTTGGAATACGCGCTCACGGGGATAATAAATTAACATTTAGTAAATTATTAGATTAAAAAAAATGTAAATAGAATTGAAATGCGGTGTAGTTTGCTTTATCATAGATTATTACGTTTAGTTTCTCAATTTCATGCTACAGAAATTCTTATTACTCATGTCGTTGGTATTTTCACTAGAACCTCTTTTTTCCATGTCACTAATAATTTACTAATCATTACTATTTCATAATAATTTTGTGCATTATCATTCGTTTTCTTAGCACATGCAAGCGAATAAAATGCTAACGTGAAAGATTTATATATATATATATATATATATAATCTGTCTAAAGTACTGAAAAAACTGTCAATTGCAGCAAGCATTTTACAGATATCAAAATGTTTTCTTTCTTTTTTTTTTTTTTTTTTACAAATTTATATTTCATTTTCAAATCTTATTTTTATGATTATTGTTTTTTTTAATATATTGCTTCAAATCAAAACTAGCATTAATATATTCTTCACATGAGTAGTAGTATAAGTTAAAACTGCACATTAAGATTAAATTGCGTAATATATATATATATATATATATATATAGGAGATTTTATAATTATGACTGAGCCTGATATAAGTTATTAGTGAAGAGGAGCAGATCAGTTGAAATTTGAGATAGTTGTATGAGCAGCGATCGAAAGAGGAACTGCAGAATTGAGTTTTGCAAGAAAAAGTAGTAAAAAAGAATACTACATCTCGTATATTCTCTTTTTCATAGTTACATTGTAAGAATGCGCGTTCGCCGAATACGTGATGTATATACTGAATAATAACAGTCGTACATAGTATGTGAAATTTTACATTAAATTTCATAACATAAAATTAACTAATATTAAAAAATAAATAAAAAGTAAGTTATAATTACGATACTCTCAGCATACGTCAAGATAAATAATTTCAATTAATAAAAAGATTGTTAGAAAAAAAAGGGACCTTCCTATTATATTTTACAAGTCAATTTTCTATTGCAACAAATTGAAATGATATTTTTCCAGTTGTCCATTTTAAATTTAAGATAAATCATAATGCAATGATTAAATGAAATGCAGAGCAACGTAGATAACAATAACGTAAAGATCTGATGCCGAGATGGAGAGGGAGTTGAGAGAACAAAAGATAGAGATGAGAAATATAGTGGAAGGGATGAATAAGAGTGGGAAGGATTTCCCTAGGTAGTAATAAGACGAAATCTTGTGACTTCTTGTAAAATGATGGGAAAGTTTAACCTTTGAGGATTCGCGAGTGGTGACTTGCCCGAGGCAGCGTTGCATAAGGAAACGGCATAATGCGTACTAACCTCGACTTGTTAGTTGTGCTGTCGCGGAACAATCACGCGGGGATGTGAAATCTCTTAATGAGATAATAATGTGCGTGATTTGACGAGAGGGAGAGTTTGAAAATTGCTTTATCAGAGTCGTCGAAGGTATCGGCGGGTGGAAACAGATAGGTAGAGATGGAAACCGAGATGAGTTCCGCGACCAGAATAAACAAACATTGGATTTAAAAATAAGTAGTTACAATTGTCAGTGTTATTCGTGCTATATTATTTGGAAGATTATTTAAAAAATAAAATAAATCATGTGCCATTATCGGATCTTCCTCATATTAATAATGAATTTATATAATACATAAATTTTATCCGTTGTACAAATCTATTTAAGGATATAATTAATATTAGATAAATTTTTGTACAAGATTTATATAAAATTCCTTACATAATATATATATATATATATATATATATATATATATATATAATTTATATTCTGTGTTGTATTATATTCACTTCAAATATAGAATTTCGTTTACTATATTAATTACGGCTACATTTCTTAATAAAAACTGAGAATATTTAAATGACCTGAATTTTATATTAATTAAAAATGCAATTATGATAAAGAGTATTATAACTTTGATCTCTCAAATACTAGGTTTTGCAGTATTTTTTTCTCCATTAATTTCATGTTCTATATATTTGTCTCGTTAAATTTACTATCCGCACCAATGCGCTGTTAAATAATCATTAGAGAATTAAAAATTTACTAAAAAGAAATTTATTAATAATATTAATGATAATGATATTAATAATTTTAATAAAATTAATAAGCAAATTTTTAAACAAATATAAATGTGATTGTATAACGAAGATTATAAAATTAAAATAGCATTCAACGTAAAAAAATTGATTAAATTAATAAAACGATACTATCTTAATATATTATGGCTATAATATATTAGCTGTGAGATAGAAAAATTATATAAAATGACAAATATATTCTGAAAGTGTAATATAATTACATTTATTTATATTGCGAATATATTTTCTTATAAGGATGTCAACCGTCTTAAAGTGTGCTTTTACTTTTTTCTAATTTGAAAATTCTAAAAATATTTATTAATACGGTATTATATTTAACAATTAATACATTTTGATGAAGGTATTTAATAATTTTAATTGAAAATGATATATTTAGATTTATACAAATTTACTTACTAAAGCAGTAACAAAAAGCAGTATCGAAAAGTTAATTTTCATGAATTAACTACACATCTCAGAGGAAATTTGAGAATCTGTGTTGTTTATATGATAATTTCTGTAGAATCTTTTATGTAAAACATGCTTTGTATACAGATTCCTGTTTCGATTTTTCCATTCTTGGTTTTTCATTACAAATTCGGAGTACAAGAAGCTCATGAATTCATTAAATAAATATCAATTTTCTCGTTAATTTAGGTCTGACGAAAATTTTTGTTATTAATAATTTCTACAATTTCGAATTAAAGCACATTGAAGTTTTAACGTTTATTGCAAAGTATTTAAATCAGTTGTACGAAGTTGTAATTTGAATTTCAATAAAAGTTGTAATATAATTATAATTCTAATGCTAAAGTTTATAAATCCTATATTTCTGCCTTCTAAAAGCATTCTCCTTTTTAAAATATTATTTTAATGCAATCATTATTTTGAGTCAACTTTACTTGTCCAAAAGTAGATCTAGGTGAGGTAAAATGCCATTCTATTTCTCATAATTTCTCTTGCGGGATATGGATCTTAACTACTCTTTAATGGGTTAATTTTTGAATGCTCTGAATAATTATTCAACTATCCCATGAGTATATCTCATTAATGTAAATTAACTCACCTGAAACTGTACTGAAAAACTTATTTAAACTACAACAAGATTGATATTTGTTTTAGAATGAATAAGACTTATGAATTGTAAAAAAACGATTTATTTAATTTACCGCTAAATTATAATGCTTATCTCAATGTAATATTACAAAGTCAGATAATATTGCTATTTGAGTAATTTTTTACTTAAAAATGACCTACTTTCACACTTAATAATTAATTATTTTTCCGAC